GTAGGATCATGGTGGGAGGCCTACGCATAAAAATGCTGAAAGAATTGCTTGTAGTTAAGTAGTATTTCAGGAACTCTCTAAGCAAGCAGCTGAATGTGACGAACAAGGGGACGCGGATATGGCGAAGAAGATTCGTGAGGTACTTTTCTTTCCTGCGGGATTTGACGTTTCCCTAGCATAGTTCAGTTTTCGCTTGAAAATATGTGCACCTGAATATGGTAACAAAGGTTCACAGGCCGCAATTTGAATGAACACGATGAAACTCTACACATATATAGCAACAGCGGAAAGCTGTATCACCATTGGATATGATTGCCTTCGGCACGCCTTCAGCTCGTAGAAGCTTCGGGTGCGCTCCTCGACAGCACGCGGCATGAAACACTGTTTCGTGAACAAACATTTTATAACGTGAAGGTCATGTTAAGCGTTCAGAACACTAGCATATGGAGTTGCTATCAATTGCAAGATTCATAAAATTGACGAAGAGGTTCAGCTCGCTGCTCGGAACCTCCTTTCCGTTCACCGACAATTTGAAATGAAATCTGTGCTACCTGAGGAACACTGGTCCAAAAGACTCACGACCAAGTGAGAGCCTTATTGCATGGCCATATAGTATATCGGAAGAAGATACTGCTGGCAGAAAATTGCCAGCAGTATGTGTAGGATTTAAGGAATTTTTGGGTCTTTTAACAGGACTGAAGAACGGCTCGCAGTGAAAGAAGATTTAAGGCTAGTGTAAAGCTCCAGTGTTTCCCGATTTTTCACTGTGCCCAACAGAAAAGCAGTTCTCCGTGCGTTAACCAAGTGAATATTTGTTGTAGTGAAGCTTACTTTATATAATGCACTATAACTGAACTTTGAAGAAGCCTCCAACAAAGCTGCACCGAATTTCTTCAAGGAACCCCTTGTGCCGTTATTGAAGCCTACTCGAGGCTTCTATAAACCGTAAATCGTGCCACCGGCAACTGTATCTACTATCTTGCATCTGCCCCGCTGTTACGATGCTGTGCGAATATCTGTAGAGTTTCACTGTGTGTTCCAATCCATATTGGTCTTTCTGTGTCATATTTACTTAGTAATAATATTTGTGGCGCTTTCTGTAATTTAACCATTTCAAATACCTGTATCAAGTCACATAGTACGAAATTCAATGCTAGGCTATTCGTCGAATGGATGACCGCGAACGAACGAAAGCGGAGCGAAAATTGAAAGAGGAAACATACAAAGAGTTACGACAAGAGAATATTGAACGAATGATGCGAGGAGAACGACCAGTTTTCAAAACCAAAGGTGAGCGGTATCAGGATTTTTGGTTTGATTCGCTAAGGATAGCCTTGATCGCTTTTCCGTGTGCTTTGAGAACTTACCAGCGTTCATTTCAGCAAAGGTTCGTCTGATGCAGATGGAAAAGAAGTTCGATCAGCTGAAAAAGAATAATAAGCTCGATGACTACATGAAGAGGAAGGCGAAGAAAGAAGCTCGGAAGGATGTGAAAAGGAAGCCGGTATTTGAGCAGAAGTACGGGTACCAGGAATAGAATTACGGAAGGCTGTGAAGATTGAAGAATCCTCCTCGAGCATTCGGTGATCCACTGCGGCGCAGTACGTTCCTATTTATTAGAAATAGTCATGTGGATTTCAGCGCTATCATGAGACAATTCTCATTTCTAATTATGTAGCTGCTGCAAAATGTGATATTAGTCGCCCGTGGTAGCAGATGTTCCCCGTGGAGGGTGCGTTCTCCTGCGACGGCTATGGCACGCGTCTTCAATTTTTTCTTCTCTTTTCTGAATCTCCGATTGTTGTGGTTACAGTTGTTACTTTTTGAAACGGTCCCACTGACGCATTTCCCTTCGTTGTTTAGAGCGGCTCTGTCGCCATACGGCGGCTGATCGTGAGCACGGCAAAGAATTTTTTTCTAATTTTTTGCTTATTTCTGAAGCCGCGTTCGTGCGCCGTAACGTCCACCATATGTACTGCGTTGACTGTTTGTTGCTCATTGCTGAAAAACTGAAATCGTTAGGAGTAGCAGTCGTTTTTAAAAGAGGCTGGTAAGCTTATGGATCGTAATAAGGTGTAGAGTCACTATGCTCTAGTTATCTTTTGCCCTACTATAGGTTGCCTTCTTTAGCACCCTTCACACAAAGGTTCCAAAAAGGAAATGGGTTGTTTGTGTTAGTACTTTATTTCCCACGGCAGGGTCTGTCGCAGTTGCAGCCTTTTTAGGAAAGGCTTTTGGCCCATTCTTTTATTGCTACACCTCAGACTCTAAGTCCAGGTTTTCTGTTTACGAAACTTCGAAGTCATACATCAGAGCACACTCGAATCAGCAGAAAATGTCCTTCCTTGTTTCAAACCACTATTAAAGATCGATGATCTTATATGAAGTTG